GTTGATAAGCTTGTCTGTTGTCTGACCTTTGTATTTGTTCAAATAATTGTTTTGTACAGGTTACAATATAAAAATGTTTGTCATAATCATGCCTTGTGATTATTTGACAGGAGTTTTACTTTTAAAATGTAAGTGTATTTAATTTAGTTATGTTAGTTATGATAGTTTAGTTATTATGTAAATACAATAAAAATTAAACCAAGATTTAGATTAGATTAATTATCATTTTGATCCATACATTAGTAATGTCTGACTGGGCCTCGTGCCTCTTTATGTTCAACAAATTGGGCCCCGAGGTCAAAAAGGTTAAGAACTCCTGGCTTAGATCGACTGAAAGAGGAGGGAACAGCYGAAAGAAGAATTTTTATGATTTGATATGAGATACCTGATATTTCTGAGGTCCGACAGCTGCCATCCAGATCCCCATACTCACGTCCTCCCCCTGAAACCAAACATCCAGGACGGTTTTCTCTCGTCTTCATTTTTAGATTTTCAGGGTTTGACCCGTCAGCGGTCTCTACCTGGTAGGCCTTCAGCTTCTCTGCGTTGCTGGCGAGCCACTGGACCAGATCCCGGGACGCCACGTAGCCCGAGCCGCAGGCGAACGCCGGGTAGGCCGGGCTGGGGTACTCCAGCTCCTGCCACTTCCCGATCCGGTCCACCGCCCAGCTCTGCCTGAAACTGGGTCGGGTCGAACACAGAAAACCTCCAGGATCAGCGGCTCGTGTTGCTTTAAGCTGACGAGAAAAGTGAAGCAAGTGGATCACAAATCATAAAAAAAACATTAAAACTTACTTCCCCCACCAGAAATTCCTGCGTTTCAGATTTTTATGGTCGATTTTCATGAACACAGAGTCCACGTCGATGTAACAATCATCATCCGTCTTCAGCAGCAGGTTGAAGTCCGTGTTCTCCACAGACCTGCAGGAGAGGTTAGAACTTTATTAAATACACAAAAAGTGTTTTCTGATGAAGACGAGCTTACTGCTTTAGAGGAAGATTTACCTTCGACAAAGTTTAAACAACGTATAATAAAACATGTTAAAAGATGAAATACAGCTCAAGTACAAACATGATTTAACATTTTCAAAATAAAAGCAAAGAAACAGCATTTACATAAAGATAAGCCTGATGAGCTCAAAGTAGCTAAAATCCAGAATTATGAAAASGTAAAAAATAAAATGCTAAAAGTCTCAAAAGGCTGGTTTACAGTAGCTAAAAGGGCTAAAAAGAAAGTAGCAAAAGAAAAGAAGTGAAAGGCTAAATAGAAGTAGCAACACACTAGTAGCAAACAGTTAGGTACAAGCTCAAAGAAGTGAAAGGCTAGGAAAAAGTAGCAAAATGCTAGCAGGAAACTAGCAACAAGGTCCAAAAGGGTAAAGCTTTAAAGTAACAAAAGGCTAGGTAAAAGCTAAAAAGTTCAAATCACTCACAAAGCTAATCATAATCCCAAAGTAGCAAAAGATTAACTAAAAGTTTAATGTGTATTTACTAAAAGACTACAGTATCAAAAGTCTAGCTTAACGTCGCTAAAGGGGCAAAAAAAAGACAATCTAACAAAAAGAAAAGTAGCTAAAGGCTAGATAAAAGCAAGAAAACACTAGCTAGAAGTAGCAAACAGACTGGAGCATTTTAGCTTTTACCTAACATTAACTAAACAAAACATAACTTAAAAAAGGCAAAAAAAACTAGCTAAAATGCTAAAGAAGCAAAACACTAGCTTATTGTAGCAAAAGGCTAGATTATTAAAGTATTAGTATTAGAKTATTAGTCTATCTTAAAATAGTTAAAAAGAATAAAAAGCTAGCTAAGAGCTTAGAGTAGCAAAATGCTATCTAAAAGCTAACCGTTTTCAAAGATAACCAAACAGGTAAAATGTTTAAAAACCAGATAAATGGAGGAACTAGAAAAAAAAACTAGCTAAAATGCAAAAGTAGTAAAACTAGCTTATTGCAGAAAAAGGCTAAAAGTTTAAAAGTCTATCTTAAAATAGCAAGAAAGAGTGTAAAGCTAGCTAAGAATAAAAAGTATCAAAGGGGTAGGTAAAAGCTTCAAGTAGCCAAATACTTTCTGAAATTAAATGGAAAGGCAAAACCCTAATAGCAAAAGTTAGATTAAGTCTAAACAAACAAAAATAAAGCTAAAGCTATAAAAAAAACTAGCTAAAAAACAAGTAGCTAAAATTTAAAAGCAGCAGAACATAAGCTGAAGGGAACAGTAGAAAAATGAGAGATTAAAGCAGCAGAACATAAGCTAAAAATAACAAAAGTCTAAGCATAAGCTAAAAGTAGCAAAAGTTTAGGGATAAGCTGAAAGCCTGAAAAGGTTAGCTAAAAGTTAAAAGTAACACAAACTAAAACAGATCAAGTGACTACAACCAGAGCCCTCCTGAATGAGCTGAACATTTTGATTTAAGAGCAGCTAAAACAGCTGAAGGTAGACAGTTTTACACAAGAAAATAAAATAAATCAGTGAGAGTTAAAACTAATAATTAAATATCGGAGCAGATTTCCTGTCAAACGCCACAGAGGAAGGAGAGCAAGAGGTCCGTCAAATGAAACCCACTCAGTCGGTCCTGATGACTCACATCAGGACCTCGTTGCTCCGACTGACTGATTGCAGGCGTTAATTCTAAACGCAGAGACGTTTTGAGGCGACGACACACTTTCATTTCAGGGCGCTGATTTCCTCAGAGGGCTCCGGCAATTTGGAGTCAGAACATCGAGTCGTTAGCGCTCGGCGGCCGTACCATTTATAGAAGCGGAGCAGCTTGGAAGGCACGTTCCTGTAGGTGTCCACCACGTCCACGAACACCACGTCGCCGTGCCGGAGGCTCTCCTCCCGCAGGGCGGCGTCCTCCGCCATCAGGCCGGCGGCGTGCGTCTCCATCCTGGCCGAGCGGCCGCGCAAGAGCCCCGAGAGTCCGTCCTCATCTGACGCACGGTGAAAACAGGAGGAGCAAGAAAACAGCATGAATCAAAGACAAAACTGTATTAAAGCTACAAGAATACAAACGCTAAAAAGCTAAACACAAGCTAAAAGAAGCAAAATGCTAGATAAAAGTCAACAGAAAATCTGTGGCAAGTTGCTATAACTAAAAGTAGCTAGAAAGTCTAGAAAAGTTATTTAAAAGTTGTTAGCGCCTTAAATGACTGGCTAAATGTATCAAAAAGCKAAATAAATGTAGCAATATAATATATAAAAGCTAAAAATATTAAAAATATACCTGAAAAATACAACAAGCTAAAAAAGGTAAAAGTGGCAAAACACAAAGTAAATGCTAAAAGGATAAAAAAAAAAGCAAAGTAGCTAAAAAGGCAAGCTAAATGCTAAAAAAAAAAAACACTAAAAAACTGTAAAAGCCAAAAGGATCAAAAGGCTATCAAAATACCCAGAAAGGCTAAAAATCCAATACTAGCAGAATGCTAAAGCCTAAAGTACATGGCTAGCTAAAATTGGCTCAGACCTCTTAAAAAAACAAAGCTAAAAGTCCCAAAATGCTAACTAAAAGTAGCAACAAACTACATAAACGCTAAAAGGATCAAAAGGCTAGCTAAATTGTTAAAAAGGCTAAAAACTCAAATACTAGCTGAACGCTAGCTAAAGCCAAAAGTATTAAAGGCTAGCTAAAAAAAAATCTATCAAAACACTAACTAAAAGTAGCAACAGCATACAGAAAAGTTAAAAGGATCAAAAGACTAGTATGAAGCTAAAAGCAGTAAAAGGCTAACAATGTAGCAATAGCCTACATAAAAGCTCAATAATGCAAAAGGCTAGCTAAAAGTAGCAAAAGGCTAGCTAAAAGCTAAAAGTAGCCAAAGGTAAGGTAAAAGCTAAAAAGGTATGAATTGTAGTGGGTGATATTCATTCTGTCAAACAATGTAGGACCTTTAATTAGTTCTGGTTTTGGAGATATGGATAATGAATTTAGTTTAATTTTTTTACACACAGAGGTAAAAGTCAATGTAACCGAGG